TGCCATTTAGCAGATGCTCTTATATATGTGTATATATATATATAATTTAATTAAATATATACAATTTAATTTAGAAATTGCTATTAAATTTAATAAAGAATTACAAAGAAACAGCAAGTAACTGTTTAAACACACTGAATTAAACATGACACTTTGATGCAGAAAGACTGAAATTGTATTTCTTGTAAAACCTACTCAAATAATCTTATTTACAACACTTTAGCAACTAGCAACTATGTAACAATGTGCAGATTCCAGTAAATACATTTTCCTTTTAAAATGACTGAATTAATATTCAGTAATAATAATATCGATTTGACTGCACTGACACTATTGAGAACAAAACTTAAATGGAGTTGAATATTGACACTACTGTTTTATGTAGAACTGCTTTATATATGAAATTGAATTTGGATCATAATTAATGAATTTTGCAACATGAAAATCATTGTTTTCCATGTATCACTGTAAAGCTACTTTGACGCAATCTGCAAAAGCGAATTTTATACGACTTGACATAAACACATCTCAGTTTAATTTATTCAGAGGAAAACTCTTGGTTGTCAAACAACACGCTTTGCAGGAAAAACAGAGTGAGTGAAAGGAATCAAAGGAAATAAAAAGATGAGTAAAGGAAATAAAGCTATCAAGGCGTGTAAGTGGAGTCATATATGGAGCGTGTTGCCATGGAAATGCAGGGAGTGATTGGCTGCTTCGAGTCTGACCTCTGATTTGAGTGAATGCTCATTCAGAGTCATATGAGGTGACATCTTTCTCCAGTGCTGGATGGCCTCAACCCAAAATCCTGGACAAAATCAAATGTACTATTTGCTCTTTATTTCCTATGCGTTCTATTCTGCATGTTTTCATGTGCAGTAAGTATATGTCTGTGCATCTGTCTCTCTTAAGCCTCTTTCTCTGGCTCTCTCATTAACGCTCCGCTCAGACGCTGTATAGCAGGTGACAGGGAGAACTAATCGCTCTGAAGATTAAAAATAAATGAAGAGAAACGTGTTTTAGAAAAACGGTGGAACGAACATCATAAATCATCCAGCCTGGATCAGGTTCCTCCTCACTGTCCGCACACTGACACACACGCACACACGCAGACAAATTACATTACTGAAATCACATTACTGCTGCCTTTCAGGAAGGACGCACGAAGGGGAAAAGAGAGAGAAGGTGACAGAGAGAAAGAGAGAGGGAGAGTCATATTAGATGAGGATTTAAAGTGACAGATCTGGAAAAGCTTGTGTAGACTGCAAAATAATAATAATAATAATAACTATTATTATTAGTAGTAGTATTACGGTTTGCAGTTTACACAAGCTTTAATACATCTATAATAATAATAATAATAATAATAATAACAGAACTGCTTAAATAGACTGAATAATAATAATAAGTACTATTATTATAACTATTATTATTGTTTGCCGTTATCTAATAATAATAATAACTGCTGAAACAGACTGCATATTATTATTATTATTATGCATGTTTTCATGCACAGTAAGTATATGTCTGTGCATCTCTTATAAGCTTATTTTTCTTGCTCTAATTATTATTATTATTTTGCAGTCTACACAAGCTTTATTATATAACATAATAATAAAGATAATATAGCTGCTTAAATAGGCTGTAAAAATACTACTACTAATAATATAACAATAATCATCAACTTTTCTCATAATTAATCATGTATTGAATCATGTGCTGAATTAATTATATTAGGTATCTTGTTATTATACTCAAAAAAGCTTGGTTTTATGTTTCTTCAAATGTATCATAATTTAATCACAATTTAATCTACATTCATTCTAAATTTGATAAGACTTTTGTCACGTAATGTAAATGTTTATTCTTATTATAACATTGGAAACATTCCTTGTGTTTTTTTCCATGTTTTTTTTTTTTTTTTAAGTTTTCAATCATGAAGGTCATTCTTTGGCTTTCAGTGGAGCTGATGATGTGACCTCTATAGCATCTCTAGAGAGAACATCTTGAGTTTGTGTTCTAGGACATAAAAAGCATTCTGCATACTTATCCTCACAGTCACAGCCAGGGCATTCGTTTAATGCTTATGCCTCAAATAATGAGTTTGCAGCAGCAGAGTTGACTCCCAACTGGCACAGGCTGCAGTTTTCTAACTATCCTCTGGAGGTCACTGTTTGACAGTGAGTGCAGCATCCACGGGACAGCAGCTGAATCACAGCCTGCAGAGACACAGAGAGAGAGAGAGAGAGAGAGAGAGAGAAGAAAAATGTCAGACATTATTTGTGACTTTTTTGTCACAGCAGTATGTGTTTGTGTTTATGTGCTCATTTTTCTGTGTTTTTCAAGAGGCGCTGAGAAAAATGTCAGACATTATTTGTGACTTTTTGTCACAGCAGTATGTGTTTGTGTTTATGTGCTCATTTTTCTGTGTTTTTCAAGAGGCGCTGTTAGAGACGCAGGAAAAGGACAAATGGATAAAGAAAAATAGCAAAAATAAAATGAACAGAGTAACAACAGTAGGCAGAACAAGAGGAATCAGGGGAGAGCGTAATCCTTTGTTCTCCTCTATTCACTTGGAGCGCGTGTCTGACTCCCTATAGGCGGAATTTCATTTTGCAGCATCTCGCAGACACACACACTCAAACACCATGTAATTTGCCCTCCAGGGACACTCATTGTTTTGTATTTCTGCCTGTGTTTTTCAGATGAAGTGTACGAGCGCAGACCCTCTTTAAGTTTATTGTGGGGGTTTCCTTGTGATACAAAGTAATATTATTTTCCCTTCATTCCTTTTCTTATGCCTGCATGAATAATAATCACTTGTGACACAAATCACTAATGTAAGATTCTTGATTAGAAGTTTTTGAAAAGGTCACGAAAAGTTCAGGATTAAACATGGATTACATACACACTTACAGTGCTGTTTCTGCATGTATTTAAGTAGCTATATCCTCATTGCTTTGGTCCTAAATCTGCAATGCTCTCACAGACACAGACTAGAAGATCAAAGCTTCTGCTTCAACGCAGTACAAAGAGAGCTAGTCATAAAACAAACATAAATGTTAAGGAATACCAGGATTTGGAATCATGAACATGTACTGTATGATAATAATTACCACGTCCAGTGTTGTATTTTATGTTTAAGGTCTCTTTTATAAAGTAAAATTCAAACACATTTCATTTAAAGGGTTCAATATACCTTGAAATGTGGAAAGAAAACCAAAGTTTACGACTCAAACGATCAAAGGTTTGATTCTTAAGGAAAGTAATGCAAAGACTGAGCACACTGCAAGTCGCTTTGGTTAACGCCATTTGCCAAAGGCATAGATGAAATAAAAAGAGAATAAAATAAAGCTAAAAAGTAATCATCATATTGTGGTTATAGCATTGTGGTTTGTACTCATAGCTAATTAGACAATCAAATTGTATCTCACACAATGACATTATTTAAGTATTAGTTTATTATTAATCTTTTTAGATTTAAAGTATAACAAAAGGTATAAGACAAAGTGTATATCTTAGGTGCTGTAACTGCTCATTTTTTCTTTTTCCCCCCACCATTTTAATCACCTCCCTGCCTTCACAAGCTCAATTTAAATAATCCTGCGGTGTGACAAATTAATTTTTAAAAGTACAAATATTTAATGTAGGTTCTCAATTAACATGAGGACATAAACACTGCATGCATAATTAAAAATGAATTAGAAAAACACTGTTTAAAATGGTTTAAAACGGATCACGTCACACTGCAGGACAACTTTCCATAGATGCGCATTCCTTTTTTAATATGTAAATTATGCACTTATTAGACATTTGTGAACATTATATTTCCTTTGTGTATTCTATACTGCTTTCGATTATCTGTTAGAATCTCATTTTTCCTCTCAGTTTCACCATCTAAAATCAACACAATCTAGATCATGGCTGATGAAATTTGCATACAATTGCATACATTATACTTCCTATTCTATTCTATTCTATTCTATTCTATTCTATTCTATTCTATTCTCAGGACCATATTTTGGTGCTTTAGATTATCTGGTAATACTGCATGTTTCCTTTCAGTTGCACCAGCAAAAATCAGTACAATATAGATTATGGCTGATGAAATTTTGCACTTATTAGTCATTTGCATACAATTGCATACATTTTCTAATTCTATTCTATTCTATTCTCAGGACCAAGTGAATTATGATCCAGGTGAATTTAGTACTTTAGATTATCTGTAAATATTGCATGTTTTTTCTAGGTTCTACCAGCAAAAATCAGTAGAATATAGATAATGGCTGATCAAACTTATTAGTCATTTGCATACAATTGCAAACATTTTCTTAATCTAATCTATTCTATTCTATTCTATTCTATTCTATTCTATTCTATGTAATCAGGACCAGATGGGTTTATGATATTTTGGTGCTTTAGATGATCTGTTAATATTGCATGTTTCCTCTTGGTTCCACCAGAGAACATCAGTATATGATCTAGATAATGGCTGATGAATAAGCAATGCTATTTCATTTATCTCTGCGAATATTTTTGTTGTTGTTGTTTCACAGAGCTGAGACCGATTTAATGATATTCATTTGAGTTTAGGTCGACTTCACACACTCCATAGCTCGGAGCGGAATACATTTTGAAAGAGGGAAGCTCCTAATATTCAGCCATTAGTTCCAATAAACAAAACTGCCCTGAAGTATTCCCACCGCAAATGGAAAGAGAATGAAATAAAATGTGAGACGGATCTGAAATTATACATTTGTTCTGAAGGAATATGAAGTAATAAATAAAAGCGAGAGGTTTGCTTGTCCTGTGTGGAAAACAGTCTGAGCTTGTGTTTTAAAATACAAAGCACTGCAAGCTCACATGTCTATTTGTGCATGAGTGAGCGAACATGCCAACACACATACATGCAAGAGCCTGACAAACATGATACCAGCACATAATAAAGACACCCGCTGGTGATCTCCATGGCAACGCTACCTGACAGCCCCGTGACATGCATGGTAAGTTTTATTCCACAGTGATCTTACAGTAATATCACACCTCTCTCTCTGTCTGTGTGTGTGTGTGTGTGTGTGTGTAGGTGAGGAGATTTACTCTCTGCGGCCCTGCTAATGGACAGATGTGAGAATAATGTAGTGTAGAAGAGCAGAGATCCTGTAGCTATCGACCAAGAGATACTCGCACACACGCACTCACATATACATTTTCTTGAACACCATATCAGAGTGGAGGTCAGAGGTCAGAGCAGAGGCTGATGGGAAATGTGATTTATATTCCAAGGCGGCCATGCGGCCTCCCATTACTGTTACTCACTTAAATGTGTGCATAGAACGAGTGTGTGTGTGTGTGTGTGTATGTGGATGATCTGACTGCAATGCAATTTGCATTCATTCCGTAGCCATATTTAAAGAACCCCCCCCACCCCTTTTTAACGCAAGTTGTATGTACTGTATATGCAACAAAGATGATAGTATGCATGTGGCATTATGAGTAAACTTACATAGAATTTGATATGTTCCGTTCCCCCAGCAGCATCCTGCTAAAACAAACTTATCATATCTGGTCATCTTTTTAAATCGCAGGAAGTGCATCCGCTCAGTCCGAAGGGCACTGCAAATGGCATAGGGAACAAGTGTACACTGACAGGAAGTTGCTAAAATAAACACAAAGGAGCTCTTTTAATATAATGAACCAAAGTACAATTGTTTTCATATTAAAATCACACACACACACACACACACACACACATATACAATTATATCAATTATTA